ATAAACAGTACTTATAACAAAATACACTTTTTAAATTTTTTGTCTGTCTGTCTGTATGTTCTGGCTAAACTCCAAAACGACTGGACCGATTTTGACGGGACTTACACTGGCAGATAGCTGATGTCATAAGGAGTAACTTAGGCTAATTTTATTTTAGAAAAATAATTAGGGTTCCTTGCTAAAAAATGAAAACCCTAAATTACACGCGGGCAAAGTCACGGGGAACAGCTAGTTTGTAATATTATTTGCAGATTCATAGATCAGAATCATTATTTTCTGTTCTGTCATTTTTAGGTTGCCAAAGAACATAAAGAAAAGACAAATATGGCTTGACTCTATTGGTGTAGAAAATATCAACTCAACAGTTAAACAAAACTTCATATGTTCCCTGCATTTTGCGAAGGAATCTATTAATAAAACTCTTGAAGTAGTTAGGCTTTGTGATGATGCAGTGCCAACAATTTTTCCGGGTGTAAGTTTCTAGTTTTGTTACACTTGTACAACAAGCAATGTTTGTTACGTAAATATGATTAGTAGTTCTTTTAGAACAAGTGATTACTGATGCTTGATATTACTGATTATGTAAAGTGTTGCTTACTTGTTACTTGCTAAATAACAAGCAACCGACAACAGTACCGGAAACTTCAAAAAACTCAATAAACTAAACCCAACACCAACACAAAACTCAACCACAAAACAGTCCGCAGGTATCCTGGTCAGTCCGTGGACTGATAAAGACCAATACCCCCCAAAGAAATGACAAATTTTTAGAAAATTTACATGTATGGACGTTCAATGTCCTCACTCTTATGAAAAATTATAAAATCCAAGAACTGGAAGAGAGTTTAAAAACTTTTCAATGGCACATAATAGGTATGAGCAAGGTGAGACGAGAGGGAGAAAAGCTGATTGAACTTAAATCTGGAAATCTGTTGTATTATTATGGATTGAAAAAGGGACTGTATGGAGTTGGATATTTAATAAATAAAGAAATAAAAAATTATGTTACAGGTATATCCCACACTTCAGACAGAGTAATAAGCTTGGAACTAATAATAAATAAAATAAATAAATAATAAAATACATTTATTTAAGTGTACGCGCCAACCTCCGACACTTCCGACGCAGAGGTGGAAACCTTCATGACTGATCTTGAAATAGCATATTGGGAAAGCAAAGCTAAATACAAATTTATTATGGGCGATTTTAACAGCCACATTGGTCAACGAAAATCTGGTGAAGAATATCATGTAGGAGAATACAACTATGGAACAAGGAATAGCAGAGGTGACAGACTTATACTCCTAGCACAGACACTAAATCTAAAGGTGGGAAACACATTTTATAAATCAAGAACAAGTAGAAGATGGATGTGGGAGCATCCCAATAAAATAAATAAAACCCAAATTGACTTCTTCTTAATAAAAAACAAAACTAATATAAATAACATATGAATCAATCAGAAAACTTAACTTAGCTTCTGATCACCATCCCGTCGAAATGATATTGAAAATAAATAACTGTAAGAAACACAGAAATATAAACAAAAGACATATAATAAAAAAAGACTGCTTTAGAAATAGAGGAAATAACAAGAAAGTATTTAAAAACTTTGACTTTAAAAATTCAGAAAATGTACAAAATGAATACAATCTCATAATGGAAATAATAAACACCGCTATGAAAGAAACAAAGAAAGTACAAGTGCAAATAAAAAAAGATATTTTTTCAGAAGAGACCAGAAGATTTCATAATTTAAAACAAACATTGACAGAAACAAAAGCCAAAAGTAGAGCGGACAAAAATAGACTTAAAGCAGTGAAAAAAAGACTTAAAAACTAGTCAAAAGAGATTTGGACAACCAGAAACTTGTGGAAATAGAAAAAGCTGTGGCAGAAAATTGTGCGATAAAATGAGCAGAGAAAATTATGTCTATCGCCAAACTACTAATACCAAACTTAAAACATGAGGTGAAAAAAAGTTGAGATGGGAAAGGAAATTGTTAACACAGCAACAAAGTATTTCAAAGCACTATATACCAATGTCAACTATGATGCGAGTACCTATGAGAAAAAACAGTGTAAAGATATTGCACCATTCCTGGTTGATGAGATAACTTCAGTGATATCAAAACTCAAAAATGAAAAAGCTTCGGGCCCTGATGATATCTGTAACGAAATTTTAAAATACTCCAGCTATGAGTTACATAAAGTCATCACACATTTATTCAACAATATTTTGAAAGAAGAAGTTGTACCAAAACAGTGGCATATATGAAACATAACTATATTACACAAAAAAGAAAGCAAGGATAACCTAGATAATTATAGACCCATAAATCTCTCCTCGGACTTTTACAAACTATTTACGATAGTCTTGCGAAGAAGAATAGAGAAAACTTTAGAAGAACAGCAATCTGTGGAACAAGCAGGATTCAGACCAACATTCAGCACAATTGATCACATACACTCACTCACCCAAACTATAGAGAAATGTATGGAATATGGCTACACAGTATATCTGATTTTCATTGCCTTTACACCATTGGCTTTAAAGCCTTTGACTGAATTTACTATGATTTTTTATTCGAAACTCTTGAAGTAATATATATATATCCTAAAATATATTTATAGAAACAGCAAGGCAAGAATAAAAACAGACAAAATGGGGGAACCATTTCCATTGCAAAAGGGTGTCAAACAGGGTGACCCAATTTCACCAATTCTCTTCAATGCAGTTCTGGAGAAAATTTTCAGAAATATGTCTTGGTCAAATAAAGGATTAAGAATAAATGGAAGATACACCTAAACAATCTGAGGTTTGCAGATGATGTCATTATCTTTGCTGAGACCACGGAAGTCTTAGAAGATATTCTAAGACTTCCGTGGTCTCAGCAAAGATAATCAGGGAATTTGAAAGTAAGTGTAGAGAAAGGCTTAGAAATGAATAGGCAAAAATGCAAGATCGTGACTAATGGGGAGCACAAACCTGTTAAGACTTGGAGGAACCCTACTGGATTATGTAGAAGACTTTACATATCTAGGACAAGTCATGTCATTTAGAAACAACCAAGATATGGTGATAGAACAAAGAATAAACAAGTCATGGAAAAAATTTTGGAGCCCATAATTTGTTATGAAAAGTGACTTAAAAGTAAGACATTTAACACCGCCATCCTACCTACCTTAACATATGGATCACAAACATGGAGTCTTACAAAAGCTCAATTAAATAAACTAAAAGTAACTCAAAGAGCAATAGAAAGATTAATGCTTAAGATTTCCAAAAAAGACAGAATCAGGATTACAGAGATCCGGGACAGGGCAGGGGTGGAAGATGTCACATAACAAAGATTAGGAAATGCAAATGGGCATGGGCCGGACATCTCCGCAGACTACCAAATGATAGATGGACTAAAACAATTACAGAGTGGATCCCGATGGACAAAAGAAGGAAAAAAGGGAGACCAAAAAGGAGATGGCAGGATGAACTCTCGAATTTTGACAAATACTGGCACAGAACAGCCCAGAGTAGAGAAGATTGGGATAAGTTGGGGGAGGCGTTTCACCCTAATAGCGACATATAAATAATAAATATATAATGAAACAACTTAAAAATTCAAAGTGAAAATTTTATTTATGTGTAAAATAAAGGCTACTAATACTAATAAGCATATGATTTATGTAAAGAAAACTATAGTTGAATCAAATACTAATATTTATTGTTTTTACTTAAACAAAAGTTGTTACAAAAAAATATACTAAATTTCTCTAGTTTTGTGACATGTTAAAGGCTAATCGTTATAATTTCAGTAATTACTTATTTGAAATAAAATAACATATATTTTCTTACACAATAATGTATTTACTTACACGAAACAAAGAGGGATCAATACTCATAGAAATATTTAAAAAACATACAAACATACCATATCTTTTTTGAATTATACTAACACTTTCCAACATTATACTAACACTTTTTAAACTAACTGACTATCAACGTCGTTATTTGTACACTATTGTTGAAAGGTAATAAGAGCGGAAACATAGCAAATGTCGAATATGAAAAGTTATTAAGCAAAATACTAAGTACTGGGTCTGTTTGACCCATTAGCAACGGCTTATGTGTTAAATATAAAATATGCATCAGGTATATGATGATTATGTTTTAAGATAATTAGTCAAGTTGGTAAAATGAACCAATACTTGCCATTTTTCTTTTCAATAAAAATATTATTGCTTATGTCTTACAACACGACAGGACTGTTTCGAATAATGTTAAACGAAAGGCATAATTAAACAAAAGGAATTATTTTGATAATTTAATTACATCATTTTCTTAAAACTATAACTTAGTCTCCTCATAGATTGCCCCACAGGGCGATGTAAGAATATCCACTACCCCAAATCATCCCATGGGTATAGTACGATGCGACAGATGGAATCAAATCAGGAGATGGGCAGCAGTGTCTTTCTAATGATGACTAAAAATAAAAAAACTGGTTGCCAACCTGCTTACCAAGAGTAGCAACTATGGCAGAATTCCCTCATGAGGCAGTCTATGAAGGAGACCTTTGTTCAGCAGTGGAATTTTATAGGCTGTAATGGATGGATTTTTTTTATAGGAGAGGGCAAATGAGCATACCTCTCACCTGATGGTAAGTGACTACTGCCGCCCATGAACAACTGCAATACCAGGGAAATCGCAGATGTTATGCTGGCCTTTTAAAAAGGAGTAGGCTCTTTTTTTGAAGGTCCCTAAGTCGTATCGGTCCGGAAAAATCGCTGATGGTAATCGATTCCATAAGGAAGTCGTGCGAGGAAAAAAGCATCTTCTAAATCGGACAGTGGTGGACCGCCAATCATCCAGATGGTATGGATGGTATCGGGAGTTCTGCCGCGATGTGCGTTCGTGAAAATTGGCGGCGGGGATTAATCCTAACAATTCCTCAGAGCACTCCCTTATATATAAATAACTGTACAAAATACTTTTATTTTCAGGAATGTTATAATGTGCCCTCAACTTGCCGCACTCAACTAAACCAGGCTGTGAATCATAATGTTTCCTTAACACTGTCACCTCCAATACAAAATACTGTAAGTAAATATATTTTTATATTTGCAAATAACCTCTTCAAAGTTTTCTAAATTAACATTATTTATAACTTTCGATTTCCTTGTTTTTAACCCCCGACGAAAATAGTGGATTTATTTTTTATAGAAATAAGATGACGAACCAGCACACAGTCCACCTGATGGTAAGTGGTTGCTGCGGCCTATAGACATCTACATCTATCCTCGTTTGCGAATTAAAATGCAGATGCGTTGTCAGCCTTGAGGACTAAGATGGAATGCCTGTTTTCCAGTAAAAAGGGTCTCCGGTTCTCTACACTCACCATAAAAAACACAGCAGCGTTAAGCTGCTATTTTTTTAACGCTGGTGTTCTGTGAGAGCGTGGTCCTTCCCTGGTTGTGCCGACCCATTCATGCTACAACTATATTATAAATATAGCTGCAGCTTGGCTCTACCACGTTTTTGTAGTGCAAATGTATGAACAGATGAACCTTTACATTTATTTATTTTTTTTGTTTGAAAGGTTCGACTGTTCTTAGCTATGATTCAAGAAAATCTTTTCAGCTGTTTGAAGATCATCAGCTCTTTTTGTTTCGGGGTTTATTAAAGTTTTTTAATTTAAGTTAATTTCCTTCGCCATGAAAGTTGATAGTTTAAATCTTCACCAGGTACAATCAAATATATTATGTGCAACCGAGGATGGTTCTTCTTTGAAGTTGTCAGTTTTAACTAAAAATACTGTAAGTACTTGCATTCATACAAATTTACAAATCCACTAAGTGATTCTATATTCTAATATGAACATTACAATTTTCAGGATTCTGATAATGAAGATTCAAATTCCTCAACCCATGAAAATGTATTGATTCAGTCGAATGACGGTGTAACAAATGCTAGCCTGCCGTCCACAACACAACAAAACCCTGTGAGTGTAATTTATTATGTTATTGAATTCTACAATTTAAAATATAAACATAATTAACTAAAAATACTGTAAGTACTTGCATTGATACAAATTTACAAATCCACTAAGTAATTCTACATTCTAATATGAACATTACAATTTTCAGGATTCTGATAATGAAGATTCAAATTCCTCAACCCATGAAAATGTATTGATTCAGTCGAATGACGGTGTAACAAATGCTAGCCTGCCGTCCACAACACAACAAAACCCTGTGAGTGTAATTTATTATGTTATTGAATTCTACAATTTAAAATATAAACATAATTAACTAAAAATACTGTAAGTACTTGCATTGATACAAATTTACAAATCCACTAAGTAATTCTACATTCTAATATGAACATTACAATTTTCAGGATTCTGATGATGAAGATTCAAATTTCTCGACCCATGAAAATGTATTGATTCAGTCGAATGATGGTGTAACAAATGCTAGCCTGCTGTCCATAACAAAACAAAATCCTGTGAGTGTAATTTATTATGTTAATGAATTTCACAATTTAAAATATAAACAATTAAAATTCATGTTTATTAGTACAAGAGCAATGTTGCAGCTATATTATGGTTGTAGCACAAATGTGCGACCACACTCTCACAGAATACCAGCATGAAATGAGAGTTAAATGCTGCTGTGTTTTTTGTTTTGGTGTGTGAAGAGATCAGAAGACCATTTTTACTGGAAACGAGGCATTCCATCTCAGTCCTCAGGGGTGACAATGCATCTGCATTTTGATACTTAATTAAATGTAGATGTCTACGGTCCACAGGAATTACATAACACTCGAATGTAAAGCTTAAGAGAGAACTGGATTTTTTTTATAGGATTGGGCGACAAATAAGCACACAGTCCACCTGATAATAAGTGGTTGCTGCGGCGCACAGACATCTACATCTATCCTCGATTACGAATCGAAATGCAGATGCATTACCACCCTTGAGGACTAAGGTGGAATGCCTCATTTCCAGTAAAAAGGGTCTCCGGTTCTCTACACTCACCATAGGAAACACAGCAGTGTTAAGCTGCTATTTTACGCTAATATTCTGTGAGAGCGTGGTCCTTCCCCGGTCGAGCCGACCCATTCGTGCTACAAATATACTACTAATATAGCTGCAGCATGGCTCTAGCACGTAAAAAAAGCTTATTATAGTTTTACATTTTTTGTTTTATTATATGTTGTAGGGAAATGAAAATGAAGTACCATTCAAAAGTCAAACTTTGAAAGATTTTAACGTTAAATCAAATTTGAAGACATCACGGAAACTACATTTAGGGAAACATATAAAAACATGGCAGCAAGAAGTGAAGACACAAGGTCCGAAATTAAAAACAATTTGTGTGGTAATTTTGTCAACCTTTGTAAAAAACTTCAAAAAGTCAGTCCAGACGATAACAAAAAATAGTGATGACATCAAAGCTTATGCATTGACATATTATTTTTATTCACCGAAAGCATATAACTTCTCAAGAAAATCTATATCGCTACACAGTATGTCTGTTTGTCACAGGGCTATATACAGTGAAACCTGGATAACTGGTATTCCACTTACCCAGTGTCTCAGATATCCAGGTATAAATAAATATCTGTCTCATTTACAGAGGGTTCCATTAATAGAGGTTATTTCAGTTATAGATGTGCGATTATTAATTAAAATAACGTGTTTTGTAAACATAATACATACACAGACATCTGGACGATAGCAAAATCAAACTAAAACTGGAGGTCACTTTTACGCAATTAGCCAAGTGTGAAATTTGCGGGTAGAATAAGAATTAATAAACAAAACGGTACACAAAATTTAGTCTCAGTAAAAGAGGTAAAATATACTCGTTGTCTCAATTATAGAGGTTATAATTATGATGAGTAAAATCGAAAGAACTAATCCCTAAAATATAGTCTCAGTAAAAGAGGTAAAATACACTCGCTGTCTCAATTATGGAGGTAATTATGACGATAAAATCGAAAGAACTAATCTCAGATATTATTATGTTTGTTTTGTCCCACTAACAGAGGTAATTCAGTGCTAAAGTGTCTGGACCTAAGCATAAGTTCCAGCTATGGAGGTATCTCACTTATCCAGGTCCCACTTAACCAAGTTTTACTGTATTTTTTATTATACTAGGTATCATAATGAAGATATTACAAAATATGTGTCCCGTCCCCCTACTTAAGGAGATGTACTCCTAGCGTGTCATACAAAAACCTAAAAAACCCTAGACATGTTTCTATGCAAGAGACCTCTTAAAACAAGCATTTTTTAACGTATTTTTTCTCTGGCTCTTTCACATAAAAGGTAATACACAATGTAAATATGAAAATTGGTATGATTGCAGTGCATACTCAATAGTTAGGTCAAATAAAAAAACTGACCAAGTGCGAGTTGGACTCGCGCACGAGGGTTTCGTACCTCGTAAGCATGTAATGATGCTCATATTGTGGACCTCTTAATTAATTTTGTTTCTTATTGATATCTAAAAAATTTTTGGTTAAGATATCATTTTATTTTTCGTGTAATATTTAGATAGATATGGATTAGTAAGCTGAAGTGGCAATGGGCCGACCTATATGGTCTCCGACTAGGTAAGTCCAACTTCGACCGAGAGGTCAATCGACGGATTCAAATCGGCTGGGCACTGTTCGGTAAATTACGGCACATCTTCTCGTCAGGTTTAACTCAAAACCTGAAAACAAGATTGTGCAACCAGTGCGTGTTGCCAGTGATGACTTATGGATCTGAGACGTGGTCCTTTACTGCTGGCCGTATGAGGACGCTCAAGGTCGCTCAGCGAGCTATGGAGAGGGCTATGCTCGAAGTTTCTCTGTGTGATAAACTTAGAAATGAGGATATCCGCAGTAAAACCAGTGACCGACATAGCCCAACGGATAAGTAAGCTGAAGTGGCAATGGGCCGGCCATATAGCACGAAGAACCGACAACCGATGGGGAAGAAAGATTCTCGAGTGGCAACGGGCTGGCGAAGTGTAGGGCGTCCCCCTACTAGATGGACTGACGACCTGGTAAGATATGCAGGAATTCAATGAATGCAGGTGGCTTGGAAACGTGCATTGTGGCATTACTTGGAGGCCTATGTTCAGCGACTGTGACTTGTGATATTTCTGTCAGAGAGCACGAGGGATCTGTGACAGAAAACATCTGGCCACCGAGCTTCAGCACGTCGAGCAAGTACTGCAAGACAACAAGCTTCAGGTCCCGCGCAACATAATTCAAGCCGCCGAAGAAGATTAGTCAATTTTTACCATTCGTCAAGTGTCATATCCCTCTACAAGATGCAGGAGTGTACAAGCTGGATTGTGAATGTGGTCTCTCGTACATAGGACAAACAAAAGATCTATAAAAACCCATGTTAAAGAACATATAGCTGACGTGAAGCACGGACGTATCGGGAAGTCTGCAGTTTGTGAACATGTTCAAGATCGTCCCCGCCATTACATTAGATTTGATAGACCACAAATCCTCGCAAAAGAACACCGATTCCTCCCAAGGATGATTCGCGAGGCTATTGAAATTAAAAACATCCTAATTTCAATAGAGAAGATGGTTGGGTGCTGCCATCTGCTTGGGATCCCATAATTAATAAAATCAAATCCAAACCCAAGTATACCACTGCTAGACTTTAAGATACTGTAAGCTCATTCTGCGTAAATCGAACCAAAAATTAATATTAAAAAACTGAAGGTAGCCGGGCTAACTATGACATCAGGACGTCAAACACCTCAGTCCCCCGTGACCACGGGTGCTTTGAAAGCACCCGTAATGTCGGGAATATAAAATAAGTTAATATACGCGATAAAATCCGTAAAATTAGTTTTATTTAAATGTGTAGTGTTTGCGTAAATATAAGAAATCATTAAGATAAGTCTTATTAAGGATATAGCAGAAAATATTTGGCGATTCGATTTCACCATATTTCTAAATTAAATGAGATTTCAATATACAGACACTTACGCCTGTCACCCAGAGGGATAGAGGCAGAGACGATGGACTTCCATTTGGCACGATCCTGACACACCCCTTTCGCTTCCTTCACAATTTCTAAAACCTTCGAAAGTAAAAGATAGTTTAAAAAAATTATCCAACAAAAAGGTTTTTAACATTGTTGTTTGTCATGAAAATTAGTAAATTATGGTAATTAATTATGACTTATTGTCGTAAATAATAACTATAATTTACACTTGCAGGAAATTTAAACAAATACTTAAATATATTAACTTTGGCCTCTCAGTATATTTACGAAAATTTAATGTATGTATTTGTATTTAGTGATGTACATTCTGTAAATACTAGGAACGAGCTCAAGTTATACCAGTTAATCGACTCAAAAGAGTCAGTAATTCCTTCATGTATACGCTTTCACAGCAAAGTCCCAGAAAATATGCAGGCCTTATCAAAGATGTTTTATAGGTCCAGATACCGTGTATGCGCGCCTAAAACGCTTCCATTTCAAAGGCGCCAATATTGGCGTATTCGTTCGATCGTTCCGTCATTACGCCAGCGATGATCGTTGTGAACATACGTCACGCACCGGTGTTTTTTAATTTCGCAAAATGACTGTTTGTGCTGTGAAATCATTTAAAAATTACTCTTGAAAAAAAGATAAGGATAAGAACATCACTTTTCATAAGTAACTATACAATTTTATGGTGTATTTCTTTGTATAAGAATACGAAAGCTAAATGTTAATACAAGTAATAATACTGCGCCATAATATTCGAGTGTTGCCTAGTCTATGAAATGTTTTTACCATTTTTTAATGTCATGATCAACCACAAAGGTTATCTATATAGGGGTTTAAAAACAGTCTAATTTTACTCAACCTATAGAGTTAAACCGTTTTAAGGGTTAGGGTTGAACTACATCTGGCAGCATGAAATTGCACTTTCCTGTGCTTCTATCCTTTTTGGTCACTCAGAACCGTTATAGTAGTAACCGGTATAGTTCCACCCTCAAAAAGCCGATTGTAAACCGGTTTTAAAAGTTTATCTATCATTCTTGACAATTCATACTAATATAATATTATAAATGTGAAAGCGTGATTTTTTTGTTTATTTGTTTTTGTCCTTCCTTCACGCAGCAACGGAACGGAGCAATTTAAAAAAATTTAACATTTTGTTATCTCTTGGCTGAAGTTTACGCTTAACCAAACTTACTGTTTTTCGTCATTTTACTTAGGATTGAAAAATAATTTAATGTCTATGTAAAAAGCGGCAATATTTTGAGTTCTACAGTACAAAAGTGTAGTACTATGTATATATTTAGTAATAATAGATTATACATATATGTTACATTCATAAATATCTACTGTGCTTTTTTATTTATTTTAACTGTTACAATAATTATAGGTTTTATTACATATCTTCAATATTTTAGTGCGATGTTCGTAGCTACATAAAACACACATAAGCAACCATATCCCCATACACACACACACACAAATGCACACGCCACGCACACACATTTTATACGCTTAGAATCAATAGGTACGTCAATAGGAATGAAATATAAAATCTCCCACATTTTTTGGGTAATCGATTCGCACTGTTATTACCGAAGTCACGCACATTAATACAGCCATGGTGCGTAAGATATGCGCGTCACGTGGTACTCACGCAAACATGTATCAAAGACTGTCTTCACTATGAACGTTGCGGTGTGTTAGCAACACGGTATCTGGACCTATAAAACATCTTTGGGCCTTATCTATAAAATTTTAAAATTTATACCAAGCATAAATTGTTTTGTAACAATTATTAGGGCATACTACTAAAGAGTAATTAAAGTAACATAATTGATAATAACCCCTGAGAATGAGGTGATCGCTACCATGCTGTTTCTAAATGTTTTAGTATTAATTCTAAAATATATTGTAAATTAATCATATATAAAATTTTTGGTTACCTATAATATGTTTATTTATTTGTTATATATTTCGTTCCAATAATATAATACAATTTATGTATAATATATTGTTTGTAATAAAATAAAATCAAAATTGATTGAAATAGAATAATTCGATGTCAATCATAATCTAAGTCTTAAATTCTTAGATTTTTGTTAATCGTCAAACGTGTTATTTATATTAGTTACGTAATAATAAATTAGTATTTCGTCAAAGTTATGTTAACCGACTCGTTGCGTTAATTTAATAAAAACCAAGGTTTCTAGGGTGATTTAGCTGTACCTACTTATATAAATGATTTTTTATAACAACAAAAAATACTACAAAAGGTTTGTATCTCTTCATAAAAAAAAGTCACTCTCAATTTCAAAGAAAACGCGTAATCAACACGTAGTTACCCACTAAAAACAAGTATCCTTCCATTTGTAACTTATGTTTGATGTCAAATAAACTTAATTAGGTCTAAATAAGTAAAAAAAGCATAAAAAAGAACATTACTTTTACACATGGCGGATGGCACAATAGGCGTGTCATGAAATATTGGTTCGCCGCCACAGCTAAAAGTTGTCGAAAATTGGTGCCGCAACGAATCGGTTAATTTTTTTTTTTTGAGTTTATGGCCTGGTATCTAGACCTTTAGGCCAAGTCTTAAGTATTTTTATTCGGTTTATTGTAATTTCCCTACTCCTTCATAGTATACAGCTTCACAATATGTTGATGCGTCACATTGTGCAGTTCTTGGGAGATTATGGCGGCAACTTGATCCAGCAGACAGCTGATAGTTGGCGATGGTGTCTAAAGGTGCCTATGCAAACAAACAGCTTATCTTGAGAATCCATCACCATCAGAGCACTTGTTTCACTGTTTCCACTAATAGTTCACATGCGTAGACACTTAATACACAAAATCGCAACACTTTTACATATCAAAGTCCACTTCAAACCATTATTTAAACAATAATACAGGAGCAGCAAACCGCCGCCGGTCAATTTCCCGCCAAAACTCCCGAATCGGTTAAAACATCAAACGGACCATAGACTAAAAATGCTATAAGTCTAGGCAAGTGTAATATCACATTACCCTATATCAAATCGTACTTGGATACATAGACTTAGGATATACTGGCGTATAGACGACCTGACAGCCCGAAAACGCGTGACCAATTTTGATTTGTTATTGTGTGAGTTGGCTAGTGATGTACATTTTACTTAAAATGGCTATCGAAAAATTTTTGTTCAGAAACCGGTATAAAGGGTAAAATAATAGTTTAGTGCACAGAACTGAATAACTTTTGTGCACTAAACTATTTTATTAAAAATTAACTAAATTTTTACCATGATCGTTTTAAAATAACTAAAAATATTCAAATAACATGTTACCGGGAATAAGCTGCACCCACCTGCCTTTTCCATCATCCATAATCTATTACAGCCTATAAAAATCCACTGCTCTATATGGGCCTCCCTATAGATTGCCTCATAGGGGGGGGGGGGGGGTCTTGCCATCGCTTGGCCAGCGGGTTGTCAACCACAGTTTTTTTATTATTTCGAGTTGTTATCAAGAAGATGCTGCTGCCCGATATTGGGTAGTGGAACTTCTTTTACCGGCACCACTTGCCTTTTGTTGGACTTTAATTCAAAATGTACAAAATTGCAATAATATCTGAAGAGGCAAAGTAAGTCTACCGATAAAATGAACCAATTTTCTCTAACAATCAGATAGGAAAGATATATTTTTGACCTTTGGAGAAAAATATTTAATGCCATTTAGAATTTCCCCGGAATTTATTTCTTTTTCAACATAATGTTAATCAAATATAAATAGGTATATATACTTAATTAAGTATGTATCTATTTATATTTTATAAAATGTTCTGCTGGTAAAATAAAAAGCGAGGACACGGAGTATATTATGGCTGCTTTATTTTTTATATAATATAATTATTACCTTTAATATTTATAAAACATGATCGGAATCAGAAACAAAAAAAAAACAAAAGCATTTAAACTACTAATATAATAAAGCGGAAGAGATATTTTTTTTGTTTGTTTAAACACGCTAATCTCTGGAACTACCTGTTCAAATTTAAAATTTTTGTATATAATAGCCAAATTCATGAGGTATAGGCTATCTAGCATATAACTATCAGCTAACCTTATATATTGATTTTTGTTAAGTCGGAAGAAAAGGCGCTCTCTAACTGCTTTATCCACGTGCGCTAGCGTAACATTTAGTATTACATAAATACAATGTTCTACAAAAATATTGGTCTTTGCTAAAAAAAAAGTCTGCGATACCATATGCCTGTGGCGGTGCTGTCGTCGCGCCATAAGCGAAACATATCGAAGCCTAAATCGCAAAAACAAAGTTCCGAAGTTAAAGCAGCATATATAGAATAGCTCTAAACTACCAATCGGAGCGTTGGTCGCTCTTCGGGCAGAACACCTTGCCCGGCGGGAGATCTACCCTTTTCCTTCCACCCGCCTAGTGGTAACCCTAACGTGATATAAACACGCAACAAACAACCTTCGGAAACTACAACTTCAAAACCTTCGGCATCATCCTCAAGTACCCCATTCATTCGCTTCCGAGGAGATATTGTCTGCAGTGTTCACATTCTGCAAGCCATCTAGCTTTACAAAGGTTCATCGCAGCACTGGAATAATAATGCTTCTTCCTTCAAGCTACTCTCTGCCCTACAGTATTCGGCAGGGCTCTGAGCCTTACTGCTGGCCTCTGCTTCACGGCACTCTCGCAGATTACTTGCCTTCGTCTCGACTCACCGCAGACTACAAGGCAATCCCTGGCACTTGCAGTCGGACTGCACTATCGACCTACGGTCTGAGCAGGGCGGTGATGTGGCGGCGCTGTCGTTGTGCCACAAGCGAAACATATCGAAGGC